ACGTGCGCATTACAATGTTTAATCATCGATTTACGTGATGCGATTCGGCAACGTTAACTTAAACTTCTTCTATACTCTATCATTTTCTCTCTTGCAGGAGGCAAGCGAGGACATGAACTTCGATGAAATGATCCTCGAGGCGGCCAAATCAATCGCTGCCGCGACATCGGCGCTCATAAAAGCAGCAAGTGCCGCTCAGAGAGAGTTAATAGCTACAGGAAAAGTATCTCGAACACCTTTAACCAGTTCTGACGATGGCCAATGGTCCGAAGGATTAATATCTGCCGCGAGAATGGTCGCAGCAGCTACTCACAGCCTCGTGGAATCCGCAAACGCTTTGGTGCAAGGTGTCAGCTCCGAAGAGAAACTGATTTCCAGCGCGAAACAAGTAGCAAGCAGCACGGCACAGCTGTTGGTCGCTTGTAAGGTAAAGGCAGATCCGGACAGCGACAGCACAAAACGTTTGCAAGCGGCTGGAAATGCCGTGAAACGCGCTACAGACAACTTGGTACGAGCAGCTCAACAGGCTATTCAGCAAGAAGAGGACAGATCATTGATTCTGAACCGCAGAATGGTGGGTGGCATCGCTCAGGAGATAAATGCCAGATCAGAGGTTCTGCGTATTGAGAGAGAGCTGGAGGAAGCTAGAGGAAGGCTCACTGCTATACGACAGGCCAAGTACAAAAATCGGCCAGACTTGGCCGACACTGACGCAGAACCTGAACAGAGCGGGTATGAGAGTTACACAACCAGATACGAGACCAGATCTTATGAGACTCAATCACAGATGAGTTATAGCATGTATCAACATCATTCTACATCGCACAATATTAGCCAACTTTCTATGGATAGACAGACTCTGGTCAGTCCAGAGAAGGTTCACTCTACGCAGAGCACTTTAGAGAAGAAGAATATAAATTTAAATCAATATTAATGTCAATTCGTCGAAAAAGAAATTAGATTTTGTTGAAGAAGAATAGTACGATTTGCGTTTAAAAGCAATTAATCGTGAAGTTTTGTGTAAAATGGAATTTTGATCGTGTTTCGAATACTCCAAACAATAGATTGTGGAACATATTCGATGAATATTCAAATTTCTACAATACATTCGAAAACAATATTACTAAATTTACAATTTACGTCCACAAATATATTCAACATATTCAAAGAGAAGTATATTCGAATGGTGAGAAATATTCGAAATCAGAATTTTCTAAATATTATCATCTTTGCTACATCTCGATACATCAAAATAATAATGATAGAATTAGTCTATGATAATCTTTGCGATGATACGATAGAAAAGTGCCCTTAGATAGAATTAACTATGTATGCTTTCGCAATTAGATTTTATACAAATAATTCTTGATTCGACTATAACCGTCCATTCTTTTCCACGAACTTATCTTTATCAATTTAACACGAACAATGATTGCAGAAAATTGCACATTTTTCTACAAATTTTTTGTTTCGACGATTTTTACTATTTTGATAAAATATTTACTTTTGCTCTTCCTTTTGAGATAATTGTTTAAAAAAGTACACAATTGAACGTAAATTTACACAAGAATATTTGTATTTACATTCTCGAGGAAGAGTTTAACGGACTTGAAATAATTTCGTACCGAAGAATTTACACTTTTTAAAATATATATTTATAATTACTTAACTATTAAGAGAATAATCGTACAAGATCCGAGGAAGAAAGATGTTTCTTTGAATCGATGTTCTTTTTTTATTATTTGATTTTTCTAGACAAACGATTTAATAGTCGTTATACACCTGATTTAATTTAGATCTAATTTATCGTAATTTTAAGTTTAAGATCACAGATTAACAAGAAAAGCAACATATCATTTAATTTTATTAACTTTCCGACAATGTGTGGTCTAATCCCACAGAGTCTTCGCCTGTTTTCCCTTAACATTTTCCGTTTTTTCTTGGGATTAACATTATTATTTAAGTCTTTGTTCATTCTGACAGTTAGTAATCGTTACTTGAACTTACGTTTTTTCATTATCTTTTCTTATGTTATCTTTTGTATTGCTCATATACGGTGGCTTGATAATTTGGTGGTTTTTTCTTTTAATAATAAGAGATTTGATCATCAGCTTTTTTAAATCTAACACAACATAGCAGAACGTAACACAATAACATTATGTAAAAAAGAATCTTATGTATCGCCAAATCTTGCACATGAGTACTACGTAGGATAATTCTAAGTTTCAAGTAGATTTTACAACAAATTTTAATGCGAGTAAATTTGAATAGAAAAAGTTATATGAATGAAGATATTGGATAATTAAATGTAAAGACTATCTTTTTTATCTTTTTTCTTCTTATATATATTATATATATTTTTTTTATAAACGTGTGATACAACAAATACAACAAATGTTAAATTACTTATTACATTTTTCTTCTTCATAAAACTGTGCAATTGTAATATATTAAAAAAAAAAAAGTGTCAATAATGATTTAATTTTCATTTAATTTTGGAATGATTGCACATAATTTCATTTTTTTCTTATAGTATTGTTTAGTGATGACTTTTTAAAGATAAAAATCTTTATTTCTCAAGAAATCTAGATATTAAGTTAGAGTTATAAATAGTAACTATATTTTATGAGTTATTAAGTTTTTTTAATCTTTAGAATCATCTTGTATAATTATAAATGCAATTAATAATAACGAATAAAGTAGCAATAGAGTAAAATTAGATACAAATAACTGCTGCACATACAAAAAAATATTATAACAAAAATTGGACAAAATATTTATCGTGAAACGTCCTAGGATAGATCATTTATTTTTGTTACCGCGAAGATTAAGCTTTTTTGACAAGAAAAAGAAAAAAATAATATTAACACTGTAATGAAAGTTAATATAAAAAAGTTATGCACATTTAAAGAGGCTTGATTAAAGTATAATTATAATATAAATATATATATATATATAGATATTTTAATGAAATTTGTATAAAAATGCCAATAATCTTTTATAAAAGTGAAGTATATGTTAAAAAAGAATTTTAAACAAAAAAATATATTTGTGCTTTCAATGTAAAAGTCATAACCAGAAACAAAATCTTTAGTTCTCTTGAAATTAAACACGAATCATTATGATTTTATTGAATATAATTATTGATTATATAGATATTGTATGATCATTCAATATCATGGAATCGAAATTGTCGAAATATAATAAGCATTTTTTTCTTTTTCAATTTTACATTTATATATAAAAGATCACTTTTATACACGAGAAATATATCAATTTTATACGTTTTTACAAATTTTGAACAATTTACATAACAGCTCCATTACTTCCAAGCATTTGTAATTTCTTTATATATGTTCTCTTAATCGTGAAAAGTTTTTGAACTTGAAAAGAAAAGGAATTCGATTCGAGATAGAGGAAAGAAAAGAAGATATTTCAAAGCGTGAAAAAACATTCTTGAAATTATTGATTGGAAGGTTTTGCACAGACCTGCTCCAAGTGATCGATTAGTGCAATTATCGTTAGTCTTTCGAAGCTAAGCGAAGAATTTGTACATAGATGTTATTTAAATATTTCGCGTGAAAAGAAAAAAAGATTTGACGAATCCATAAATGGTGAAAAAGAGAAAGTGCCTGAGTCTAATGAGCTGTCGCTTTTTTACGTAGAGAACTCGTAAGATTTTCGTATATTATTACCAAAAATATCAGATGCTTTACTAATAATGTTCGATAGCATGATTGCAAAAAAAAAAAAAAAAAAAGGAAAAAAAAAGAAAAAGAAAGAAAAAAAAAAGAGAAACGAAAGATCCCTTCGTACGAAAAACAAACATTTCCAGAAGGAAAAAAAAAAAAAAAAGCAAGGAGATAGATTTTTTATCGTTATTGTTGAATATTTTTTTTTTTCTAAAGGGATCTATCTATATACGAGTATATAAATATATATGTATGTGTATATATACATTTACCGCATTTAGCGTTATATATATTTTCAGAACGATCGCCAATCGTATTTTTATTTTATATACATATATACTTATATAGAGTGCCATGATATATAGAAAATTAAATATATATATATATATATAAATAATAAAGATGGAGGAAATGATATACGATAGATAATTCTCTCTATATGTTATTACGTATTAAATATGTACGTGTCATTAAGGTGTTGAAAAGAAGTAAGAAAGCGCAACGAGAGGGAAGGAGAAAGAGAGACGGTTTTCACAAATTTTAAAAACACTTTGTATCCATTGTTTTTTTGACAATCCAGATTTATATACAGGATACTTTTAATCCGTTATATTTAATACAATTATTAATACGATTAAATCTAATCGTGGAATGTTATACGAGTTGTAATATTATATTATATTGTATTATTATATTAGATTATATTATATTATTGGTTTACTACTATATTATTATTATTATTATTATTATTAATTACAATGTACGTACAGCTACGAGATGATTATGACGATGAATATTGTTTTATTATAATTATATTACAACGACTATTCTCGAATGTAGGTATTAGCCCTAATTACATTAAAAAGTAATAATAAAGAATTTCTAACATTTCATTGTCGTGGATCATTGGAAACGTGTACTTCCATTTCTTTCTATATCATACGTATTTTGTAAATGAGCGAACACAAAAGTGCGATATGTATGACTTCAATTCTTCAAGTCCTTGCGATATTTATGGTGAAACTAAATATTCTTAGGATTTTATTGCAATATAGAAAAAATTATATACATAAAATAGTTAGAACAGTTTTATTTCTCGAATATCGATATTTAGTTTCGAATATTTGGTACAAAAATTTGAATTTAAAAAAAAAAAAGAAATACATATTATAGAAATCAGGACTTAAAGAATTTAACAGAGTATTTAAATTATTTATTCTGTGAAATCATTTGTGAACAATTAAAAAATTGATGCGAAATATACTCGATAAAATGTGAGTTGAAACGATATATAAGATATATTTCGATGATTATATTCACGATTGGATCAACGAGGTAGTTGAACGATAAGCGACGACAATGATATTTCCGATATTTGTGTTAAAAGTCTTCAATTTTAAAAAAAAGTTTTAAATTATTTCTTTAAGAGATACTTGACTATGACTAGTTTTTATCGAGTGCCTTGTCCAATGCTTTCCTTATAAACCTTGGAAGAATAAATGCTGCCCGATGCACTTGATCGTTATAGTATTTCATGTTCATCTGGTCAAGCTCGGTGTCGTTAAAAACTTTTGTTGGCTCTTTGAAATTCGTCCCCTGAAAATGTGTATTACGTTTAATCACTCGAAAAGTGATCATTGTGAATGTCGAGAAAATTAAAATTAACGTTAAAAAAAATATAGGAAAAAGTAAAGGGAAGGGAATAGAAAGAGAAGAATCGAAACGAACAAACTTACAGGATTTAATCCCCCGAGCACGAATCCAATTTGACCTGTAGGATAGGTAGGCACGGAAACGACACCATAAGATGCAACCGGAAATAAAGATTTGCAACGTTGTAACGTTTGTGTCACGTGGTCGAGATTTAACCATGCAGTTCCCGCTTGACTGCAAACGATTCCACCAGGTTTCAATGCACTTTTCATCAGATTAAAGTATGACTCTTGGAATAGGCACTCTGCTGGACCTAATTAAATCAATAAACAATTTTCAATCCCATTTTCATCAACGAATTTCGTTCGCACAAAAAAAGTTTGTATTAAATCTCTCATTATATCTATAATATTCACATAAATCTTTCATTTACAAATATCAATGAAATTTAACATGTCGATTGACACGTGTTCATAAATACATTTTTAATTATAAGAAATCTACTTACCGACTGGGTCACTGCTATCCGTGATTATAACGTCAAATTGGCCACTATGTTGCTTCAAGAATTGAAAACCATCGCCAATGTTAAGCGTGACTTTAGGATGATCCAGTCCGACACCCATCGAAGGCAAGTACTTTTTCGATACCTCCAACACTTTAGGGTCGATTTCGACTTGCACGATTCGTTCTACCTGTGGATGTTTAGCCACTTCACGAGCAACTCCGCCATCTCCACCTCCAACTATCAAAACCTGATGATCAAAAGTACAAAAGGTAATGGGCTTGTTACAATTTTTAACGTTAATATTGAAATAAAAAGAAAAAAAACACTAGAATAATTAAGAAAAAATATATAAATTGTAAAAAATTGCTAGAAGAAAATAATATAATATTAAATTTAGAGATTCTTGTTTTTAAAATATTTGATGCATGTCGGAAAAGAACTTACAGTTTTTGGATTTGGATGGCTGCACAACGGTAGGAAAGCAATCATCTCCTGATACGAAAACTCGTCTCTCTCCGTGCATTGAATGATACCATCTAAAATTAGGGTCCTTCCATGTGATTTCCTGTATACGTGTAATTAAAACAAGTTCCTTTTGAAATAATGACAAATCACTAACTTACTTCAACTTCAATTCCTTTCTGCTTTCTTTTTTTCTATTTTTAGAATTCGTATATTTTCATTAATATTTTTCTTTCACAAAAAAAAAAAGATAAAGAAATTGCATTACAACAATCAAATATATATATATATATATCCATAGTGCAAGAAAAAAAATTAAATTTATTGTAAAACGAAAAATTATTATTAATTTTATAAAACTTCACACGTTATTACAAATGAAAATATCGAGATGTGACACATGTGACAAAAAAAATAAATTTTTTAATTTCAATCTCGATATACCCTTTTCCGATAATATTTCAAAGCAATCGTTCACGAACAATCGTTATTCTTCCATTCTAATTATTTCATTTAAACAAATAGAAGCGAAACTTTCCCAAAGGAAAGTGTAAATGCGCAATATTTACGTTTCGAGCACCATCACGTCCTGATACTGCGATCGTTCTCGATGGAGTACCTTGACGACCTCGAGGGACAATGATACACCTGGCCACAGATCGTTAATTTCACTGAACCATCCAGGTTTGATCGCATCCATTTCTCTTTTTCCGCCTCTTGTTCTCGGTTTACCACACCGGTTGTCTGTTCACGGTTTCGAGATTCAACTGGAAGTAGACAGTGTCGGTCGGTTAATCGTGGACGAGGAAAATAAAAGTGCTAACTTTTTTATGCGGCCAAACATGTTTCCCTACGACACGGATCGCCACTTCCACTACAACTCCGGAGCGGGCAACTTGAAAGAAGAAATGGCGAAACTCGTTTGTCACTCGTGTATTCGTGCTGCTAGTATCCACTGTATGGCTTGCTTTCCCCGTATAACCGTGTTGTTGTTTGCCACATTATTAACCTTTTCCCCGAAAAAACAGTTTTTGTTGTGAATGGGTGAAAAGAAGTTAATGCAAAAGGAAATAATCGTGTAGAAGATTTAAATACTTCGTTCTGTTGTTCAATGTAATAAAATTATATGCGACAATATTGTGAAAGAGGTGTAAGAGGCAAGAAGTGTAAGAGGAGATAATTCTTTGAAATTTAATTGATTTAAATTTTTAATTTTAACAATTATTATATATAATTTAAACGTTTGAACGTTTAAAGAGATATAATCTTGTATTATAAATTTAAGTAAATTTGATTATTTGCTTAAATGTTTGACAAATAAACATCATATCAGATGTCTTAAGCGTTACTACAACTGGAAAGCCACGTGTATAAATAACGTAAACATTCGACTATTAATTAGCAGTTGAAGAATTCAGATAATAAACACAATTCAAAAATTTTGAAGTTCATAGTTTTAGTTTTATTAATTTATTAGTCGATTAATTTTTCTTATTAACTTGAAATTAATAATCAATATAAATTTCTTTTTTGATTATGTTACATTCGATTTCTTTTTTTCTTTTTTTTTTTATCAATAGTGTAAATTATTGAAATTTAATGTATAAATGTGTTATTTAATCACGTGTATTTGATCGAATCCTTCTCAATTACAATAAAATTTAACGATAAAAACAAGTTTCTTCTTTTCTCTTTTTCATTCATAATTTTATTTAATTCTTAGCGAAGATCACAATCTACTAATTTTTATTATATTTAATTTTTGTAAATTTGTATATTTAAAATTATATTTTATACATATTTTATACCACTTTTATTTATTTATTTTATTACTCGACAATTATTTCCAAGAAATCCCATTTCGAATTAAAAAAAAGAAGGAAAAAAATAGAAAAGAACACTAGCAAGAACACGAAAACACGATAAGTTTTCACAATTATCAAAGAAACTTCATTACCAAAAAATCAAAAATTAACTTTATAAATAAACTCGTCGATGAAAATCACGATATTAAAAAATATATATTAAAAAAAAAAAAAAGAAAACAAGTTGTAAAACTATCAACCAAAATCAATTGACAAGTGAAACATTCACACGTTCACGGAAAAACTTGGAATTACAATCGTAAATGAGAATCATCACCAAGATGTTATAAATACAAAAAAAAAACAAATTAGAATATTCTCAGCAGCGATGCTGAGAAACGGTTATTGAAATGTTGTCGGGATAAAATCCAATTGGAAAAATTCCAATTCGAATTAATTCATTGGAACAGATGAAGATCGGCACACTAACTTCAAGAGGGAACTGTGACGATTAATTTAACCAAGTTGCACGGAGTTACAGCACCGCGTACGATTAAATTCCGAAAAGACGAAAGTGAACGTGTACCGTGTATGCAAAGCAGTGACGTATGACGGCGAGCAGACCTTTGAAACGGAAACACGAGCGAGAATGGAAAGTTGACGGGAGTTTACTTGCCAAACGGATGATGGCCCTTATCAACCTCCTTCCCTCTTATATACTCCCAGATAATGACGGTTCAACCGCGGACAAAATAACTCGTGTACGCTGTACTATGTAACGAAAATTAGTTTTCAATCAATCGAATGGGTCGCAATTTCGATGGATCGAAATTTGATTTTTCGATTTTCCAAATTTTTCATCTTCCAACTTTTATTTCTCTCCTTTTCTTTCTTTCTTTTTTTTTTTTTTTTTCTTTTCCAAAATAAGGAGCGTCTGTTTTATCGAGGAGAACTGAAATCTTGAAGAATTTTGATTTTTTTTTTTAATAAGAAAGGTCCGTATAGATATAATAACGCGAAATATTTTGAAGGAATTTTTTATTTTCATTGTATTCATATTTATACATCGCGATGAATAATTCATAACGATTATTTTCGACAGAAATAAATTTTGGGTTTTAAATTTTTCTAAAGAAGTAAGATTTTCTTTCCTGTTTTTTACTTCGTACATTGTATTTGAACTTTAATCCTTGATTTCTTTGTCAATTTTTTTTTCTTTATTTCTTTTTTTTTTTGGACATTTATGTATTTACGAAAATAATTATTCATCGTTACAATCACTTTCTTCAAAATTTTTAAATTATAATAAAATTATTCTTATCGGTTCCTCTCTTATTAAATAAATAGATAACCCTTGTTTGATAGTTTAACGTTAAATATTTAACGATTTACGTTCAACAATATATAATGTATAATTATCTTCAACGTTCTATATTTATTTTATCTCGAACAAGAAATCATTTATATATCTTTTTTTTTTATTATAGGATAACATTTTTATGAATTAATGATTTTTTTGACTTAGATTCGCTAAGATATAATTATTTTTTGGAAAATAATTAATCTTTTTAATTTTTAATCGCAAACAATTGTGATTTGATTTTTAAAAAATTTTAAATATATTAAAATTATGTGTAACGAAAAAATTATTCGTTCTTTGATAAAAAAAAAAAAAAAAAAGGAAAAAGGAAAGAAAATTTTATTAAAAAATGTAAAAAAAATATTCCAAACATTTTAAAATTCGTTCTTTCGAAAAAAAAAGAAAAATTTTGAAGGAAAACTTGTACTTTTCTTGAGAAAAAACAGAAACTTATAGTAAATTAGTCATACAAAATTCAATTTTATTATATATAGCTTATCTTAAATGCATTTCTTAAATGCAGTGAATGAATGTTGATAAGGCAAATTATTCGTGCGATTATGTGAGTTCAACCTTGATACACTTAATATCAAGAAGTCGAGATTATTTGAATATAATTTAAATTCAATGTAATAAATTATATTTTTCTAAATTTTTTAATTTAATGTTTCGATGATTTTTTTCGTAATAGTTTTACAATTTTCTTTTATATTAAATATAATATTTAACATTTTTTCAATTATTTTAAAATCATTTACATATGAAGTGATTATAAATTAAACAATTAAATAATAAATATAATATCAAAGATATTTTAGACATTTTAAATCTTAGGTTGCAAAAATAATTTGTGATTTAATAAAATTATGTTTATAATCTTTTATTAAAATTATATGATATTAAGTTACCTTGTATTCAATAACAGTTAATATTTGAAGGAATTAATTGATAGATTCGACAAACGAATCTTGGATAGCGTTGTTTTTCAGAAGAATGCTTTAAAATTTCTTTTTGCTCTCTTTGTTGTCGAGTTTTCGCTTGTTTAAATTCAACCGCTGTTGTCGAACGATGCCTTCTATTGAAACACTCGTATATAGTAAAGTATATATATCCTATGTTTTGCAAGATTATCATTTTAAAAATATGTTGTAAAACCAAGATTGTAACATCTGTATTTTTTACATTAAAGATTAGATACATAGTTGCGACAGAAAAATGATAAAAATGTGTTTAATAATTAATACTTCGTACCTCGTGTCTGCCAAGAGTAACTAGACAAGGAAAATAAATAGAAAGAAAAGAAAAGAAGAGATAAAGTAAAAATTGACCATCAGTTCCCTCTTTTGCGTGTTGAAGACATTTCTTCAAAAGTATGATAAGATAGAATACGAATTGAGAACTATAGCCATCTTTTGATATTTAAAGATATCTCTTTAAAAAATAATCAAAAGATTGAACTTTACTTTTTTCATCTTCTTTCTAAAGAAATGGCATACAATTAAATGAAACAATCAAAAAATTTTGTAGTAATACATATAAGTACATATAATTTCAGCATAATTTCAAGTGCTATAATTTCTTCTTATGTTCTCCTAATATAAAATTGAAAATTTTGATCAAAAAAATTGATAAAAAATATTTTTTAAATACAAAAAATAAAATTATATAAAATTCTTGCGTGCCACTTCTTTTTCAATTATATTCTTCTGTTACAAAATCGAAATTTTAAGAAAAATTTTGACTTTTCATTAGGAGAACATTTTAGAAGAGGTTGTTCATGAAATTTTTCGAAAAATTCTAAATTCAAATATTTCTAAATATCTCTCTGGCTAAAATTTCAACTTTTCATTAGGAGATGATATTTTTAAATGTGTTTGATATTCAAGAGATGGCGTTAATAGTCAATTCTTATACTATCTTTTTCCTTTTCTTTTTATTCTTTTACTCTTTTCATTTACATTAGTTTCGTTGCAATATTTTAGAGATGGAGCTAATTTCTCCTATTTTTATCCTATCTCTATCCTTCATTCATTATTTACTTTTCTTGTCTATATTTGCTCTTTGAATATAATGCAGGAACAATTAAAAACATATTTTTATTCTTTTTTTATTGTGAAACTACAATGTGTCTTTCGATTTCTAAGATTATATATATAAAACATACATGTTTAATATTACAGAAAACAAAGATAGAAAAATGATAAAATATAAAGAAACAATACAATGTTTTTTAATATGTTTTATTTCATTTTTCTTAATATAATTTACAAACTTGCTTAACTCTCGTATAAATCTAAAAATATAGGTAGTCGTGTATGACGTAAACTAATAACATAGATAATAACAGGACATTTTTAAACCGTTCGCGAATTTTTAATTCATCCTGCAAAACGGCGTTCGTTGTACACAGTACATTGTACATTTCCATATATAACTATACAGCAAATATGTTAAAAAATAGTACAAAATATTTTAATTTTTCTCTTTTTCTCTCTCACTTTTTTTCACGCATACTTTCACGCATACATACACATTCTCTCTTTCTCCATCATTTTCACGCTTATACACATAGGCAATTTCATTCCTATCTTAACGTGTATCTCGAAAAGAAATTACAACATTACAATAGCTCTCATTTTGTTCTCATCAGATTATTTAGCTTCGTATTGTTTGCAAATGTCTGTTACTTCCTGATGAGACGCTTCTTCACGTCGATAATAAGTATAATTACAATATGCAAATATCTTTTTTGTTAGAGTGGAAATGGAAAAAATTAATCTTCCTTTTCTTGCAAGTTCTTTTTAAAATAAACCTGATTTATTCTTATCCAATTTTATATGCTAAATTATTTCATTTCAAGACAAATTTCAAATTTTTTTTACAAAAAAATTAAGAAAACCTTCTTTTTATATCTTATAAGCATAGCACAAAAATTCATTCGATTTCAATATTATTGCCGTTGCACTTATACAATCCTTATCCCTTTTCAAGAAATCATCATCCATAAAAACTCCTCTCTCCATAAAACACGAGGAGTTCGACGCAAAAGGTTAAACCATGATTAAAGTCGACGAAGAAGCGATCTCGACGAACGAATTCCAGGGACAGTTCCTCCTCGAGAAGAAACGCGTTTCGACCGGTAGTAAAACCGATGGGGGATCACCGTTGCGGTCAGACGTTGCATTCTCGATCACAAAAGGACCCTTAATGATCCTCGAAGAGTGGAAGAGGAAAAAAAAAGAAAAAAAAAAAAAAAGAAGAAGGAAAAGAGGGAACGGTCTAGGGTCAGAAATATTTTTAGGAGAGAGCAGGTACCACCTAAACCAAGTAGCTTCGATATCTTATTGCACCTGTCACCTGTGGCAACGGTGGCACAGGTTCCTCCTCCTGTGCCCAGGAAATTTGCATCGTCCTCTTCTCGGATCGTTGCGGATTATCTATCTTTTTTTTATTCGCGCCAATTCTCTTTCTATCGAAACAAGATTCTCTCCGTTCCAATTTTCGCCGTTCTTATTTTCGTCGCGAATTTCCCCCTCGTAAAGCGTATAATAATTAGGCACATTTTATATTGTACATGTATCTCGTTGTCTCTCGATAACGATTGCTCTTCTTGTAGGATTTATGTACATCCTCATGTTCATAAGTCATTCAACACGCTTAGCTCGTGATTTCCTCCATTTTATATTTGAATTAAGAACTTTCCAAAGTTTCTTCGATTTTATGCATTTAGCAAACAATATTAGAAAATATTGTTTTTTTGACTAATTTACAGGTTGTAGTTAATCGACATATCTATATATTTCTTCCTTTTTGTCATCTTAATCCAAGGACTTACTCGTAAGACGTATGATCGAAAGATCGATATTATAATTACAAAACATATTGATGTATCCGTTAAATAAATTTCTCTACGATTTTTTCAGTAAATAATACACGTAATATTTGTCTAGTAGATGATCTATATAAAAGTACAAAGTTTTTATTCATTCGCAACATGTGAGATAAAAGTTTCATTGTTAACTGGATCTCATAGTTTCTATGTACAAATACGTTGTGCTCTCAATAATGCACTAATACAATATAATTCTCATCGAAGTTAACGCTTTCGATACCTTCACTTGTTGTACTCTTTTCTGCTTTCCTTATTTCTCGAATGTAAAAATACGCTTATAGTACAATCAAAGTTGAATAATTGCAAGAATAATCATCCATCATCGATCCATTATCATCGACTATTCTTTTCTATGTTTGGCGAAATACAAGTATTTTGATGGCCTTTCGATCGAGCCATGCGTCCATATTACTCTATAAATATCCAATTTGGATCGCTATACTGTTCAACTTTTATTGTATCTACAATTCTGAATAAAAATTGCCAATATTATTTTAAATCGTGTCGAACAACGGTAAAAATATTGTCACGATTTTTTTCATCACATTTCAGTCACGATTGGATATATCGAGTAATATTGAAATTTTTACATAATAATTAATGAAGATTAAAATGATATAATAATTTTTTCTTTTTTGCACTTTTCTTGTAAAATCGATAACTCGATAAATCTCCAATATATTTTCTAATACTTTGACATGTATAACAATTATAAACGCTCTTTTCTAAATAAACACTCTTAATAACAAATAAAAATACGATAAACATTAAATCTAATTTTTCGGTATGATATTTATTTGCTAATTTTTTTTTGTCTTAGAAAAAGATACCAAATATTTAACAACTAAAATAAAATAATATTCATTTTAATTCTGTAATAAAAAAAAAAAAATACAAATTATACAACTTAATAAAATAAACAACACCACAGTCTGTTACAATGCTTTCGAAATTTTTAATCTTTTAATGGACACTTATTAAACACGAATTAAAAAAATATTATCATTTCACTTTCGTGACGATATTTCTATCATTGTAAAAACGATTCTCATATGTCAAGATGACAAATCAATAAAAAAAAAAAAAGAAAAAAAAAGAATTTGACACTTTTACTGCTATTGAAATTTAATCTTTCTTCTCTCCAACTCTTAACTTAACCGATTAAGATCGAATTTGGATATAATAAAAAAAAAAAAAAAAATAAATGTTTTTTCAAAAATGATTAGACGAGTAGCAGCAAAAATGTTAAATAATTACATTTTATCATAATAAGAGAAATAAAAAAAATGTAACAAATTTATTGCAAATTCTTTCAAACGGAGAGAATATCAACATGTCTGGAAGAATAATGGCACAGCTATAAAATAAACTTTGAATTAATTAGAATCATCCCAATGTATCTTATTTTTACTTCAACCATGAATATGGCTCATCGCCGATTCAATTGTGTCATCGTCCTTCCAGAATTGCAGCAACAAAAAAAAAAAATCTCACACGTACAAATTCTATCCACACTCCATCTTTCACCGCCCACATCCAAACTACGAAAATAGTTCCTTCCCGAAAGAATAATCGATCACTTGAACCATATTCCAAATGACGTCCAAATAACGATCTCACTTACGGCTCAATAAAAACAGTCCTAACCCAATCGAATTTCACAGCAGACGATCATTTGGTATTCACCGATAAAACAGATTCCCCCTCTACCGGCGCATAATATCCGCTATAGTGAATCCTTGCCTGGCAGGAGCAGGTCTGGGTGGGGGTGGTGGTTGAGGGGTGGGTGCTCTGGGTGGTCGTGATACCTCCTCCTCCCTTTCCCTCTCGCGCTCCCTCTCTCTGCTTTGCTCGATGTCACGTTCTCGCTCCCTCTCGCGTTCTTGCAGCTCCAGGAGCACCCTGGATGGCCCTGGCGAGCCTATTCTTCGTCTGTAGGAAGTCAGGATTAACGGGGGCGGGGGTGGTAATGCGCCTGGAGGATTCTGAACGACGGAGTGGCCGCCACTTCCACTGCTGGTCACAGTGGACGGTTTCACGGTAGTTGGAAGTAGATCTCTTCTGATTTGTAGTTGAGGTCTCTGAGGAAGAGTGGACGATGAAGTTGGAGGTGGAGGCGGTTGCGGCGGTCCCGACGAGGCTTGAGGAGGGTAAGAAGCGTTCGTGCCCGAGGATGGTAACGCTGAATTGACCGTGGACGCCGAGGACGACGAGCCAGGCTCCGGACAATCCTCTTCCGGGCTGTCGTCGTCTCTGAGCGCCTCCTCGAGGGCCTCTGGTGGCACATCACCGACTGCATGCGTCAACGCGTGTCTCCTTAGGTCGCAATTCCGGCGGAACACTTTGCCACAGGAGGTACACTCGTACGGCTTGTGATCTGTGTGCGTGAGAAGGTGGGTTTTCAGATTGCTGCGTTGGTTAAAGCTTCGAGCGCACACGGGACATTTGTGGGGCGATTCCTCCATGTGGAGAATCTTGTGCACGGCCAGGGTACGGCTCTGGCAGAAACCCTTGCCGCACTCGCCGCATTTGAAGGGCTTCTCTTTGCTGTGGATGTACCTGTAACGAGTATACCAGTTTCAGTTTATATAACTGTTTGGTTTATACAGCAGAGAGCGTCGAATCTTTTGGAAATTGTTGCAATGATTGGCAGAAGGAATGTTGTAATTAATTAAAATGATAAGGAAAATACAAAAAAAAAACATAAATAAATAACGAGAAGAAAAAAATTACCTATGATCTCGAAGATGATCCTGCCTTCTGAAAGCCTTGCCGCAAATGTCACAGGAATACGGCCTCTCATCCGTATGCGTCCTTTCATGAATCAACAAATTGTACGATTTCGTAAATTGTCGATTACAGAATTTACAGATAAACTGTTTCTTAGGTCTGGATGCCCTTCCCGGCGCTCTGAGCAACCTCCTATCCAAGTGTTGATGCGCGAGGGGTCCACCAGGTGGATAGAGCGCCGACCCAGTCGGGAAAGGGCCAGCGAATACCGGATAACCAGGCGGTGGCTCGAGCAGAGGCGGTGGAGGAAGCAAGAGAGCTCTTGCCGCCAGTTCCTTCCTCTTGTCCGCCATCATAGCCATGATCTCGTAACTGGACGAGGATTTTCTCGGGACGGATGGTTCTGCACCGACCTCGTGGTCCGGATTCGACGTGGTCGACGAGGACGGTGGAGGACCGGTCAGGTGAGGATGCATGTCGCCTGGATATGGTGCCAAGTGTAGCCTGGAAGGTACCACGGGCACAAATGCGGAGGATTCGCGATGATGAGGATGGCCCAATCCAGCGACCAGACCATGTCGATGATGGTGATAAGCGGCCAAAGCGCTAGACGGGTCGAAGCCTCTCGAGGTCGACTGCGCCGCTGATCCTGAGGATGATGCGCCCGTCGAAGAGGGAGCCGACCTTGGTGACGGCCCAAGGCTCAGCTCTCGACCTCTGCTCGTCTCCTCCGTGACCGTGGCCGAGGCCGAGGCCGACGACGCCACGATGTCCGTCGGCATACCGATGACACCTGTAATTCGAATCAATCTTTTTGTTGCTGGCTTCTGTCTAGCTTAAATCTCGCGATGACACTGATCAATGGATGGGTGTAGTATAGCTTATGTTCGTTGAAGAGGGAAATTGTGACACGAATGAAATTGTGAATCGATCGGTACAATTCTTTAATTGGATGGTTATAGATAAGAGTTAAATGTTCGCGTGAGTTTTATTGTTTGTCGAACTGGCGAATTGAATTTGGATTTGGGATAAAAGAACAGGATATAGGATATTAATGTATTATTGAGTTGAAAGGAAATATTGGTAATTTTGTTTATGTGTAGTATATTAATTTGATTGTATTTATTATTGTTATAATTAATGTAATAAAATATTATAAAAATGGAATAAATGACATTTCTCACTTATGTTGTTTTTTGATTTACTTCGATTAACATTTTTATTAATTTTTAAATTTAAGCGATAAAAAATTGATGGATATTATTTTTCGTGACATTTCGCGTTGTTAAATATTTCTACTTTTATTTTATTTTCTGATAAGATAAAACAATAAATACGTAATTTTATGACGTTTATTTGGAAAAAAAAAAAAAAGAAAAATCAACTGCAGTATATTGAAACGACGCAGTTTAAATTGACTTTCACATTGTTGCAAAATGGTAACGTACACTTTGATTACGAAATGATTTGAAAACGCAATTCAAGGACTTTATCTATATTTATAAACGTTTCTTTCTCTGAACTTAAATTCTCTTTTCATCTTTCAACTGGACAATAAAAAAAATTTATTTAAAAAAAGAAGATCTAAGTATTTCAAATACAATACTAATACATATGCATATTATCATTAATTCTTTGGAATTAACTAACTGCAGGAATCCACGTGACAAGGTTAAGTGTAAACGTTAAACATATCCGCCATCTTGCATTCGTCTGTGACTTCCATTAAACATCGATACGCATAGTTTCATATTCTGAGAAATATTATTCTTTTCTAATACTTCATGTCATTATCGTAATGTCTTCGTCAAAAACTTTCACTTGTAATTCATTTCGAGTATGATTGAGAGATTCTATTACTTTCATCTCACGAAATCAGATCTCAAATTCAGGTAACTCTAAACCCAATTTTTTATCTAATATAGTTATTCATCTTAAGAATCTATAACTTTAACACTAATAAAACTATCAAGGAATAGAAAAAAAGAGCAAAATACTTCGATCCACAATAACCCATTCGCGATAATTAACAACTTATTAACACACAATCAATCGCATGAAACCAACACAAAACAAAACAAATTCTTCCTAACCCATGATCAATTATTAAAATTCATATCATCAACGGGGACGAGATTTTATCTTATAATTCGCGTTTCTCAGACAATTGTGCGATAATACGTGGAACGTACGCTCCCGTTTGCCAGCCGCGTGCGTTCCACGATCGTGAACTGGTTATCTCGAGCCGAGCACACCTGCCAACATGGCTTCCGCGGACCCAGCGGTCACGGCTAGTCCTAGCGGCCATGTTGGAATCGCCAATGCCCACTGGAATGTGACGAACGTGGACCACTATCCTCTCCTCTCTATCCCTCCGAGTCACCCATCGAAATCGAAGCGAACGAAACCACGCCAAACCACGATCAAAAAATCCTTTCGATCCATAGAATATAAGCTCACCAGGGAAACGTCGACCGTCGAGAACACTTCCCGATCTCGCGTTTACTCTCCACCGATATCGGTCCACCGTCGCATCTCCGACGTGTGATCCTGTTCAGCGATCGCTGGCGGAAGCATTCGTCGCGACACCAGTACAGGCTACATCGAGTCGCTTTCACGAACGATACCACTGTTCGTATTTCGGTCGTTTTATCACGAAACCATCCACTAGCACTCGCGTAATCACACATACACGATACACTTGTGAGCCAACTTGACGAGAGGGGTACACGAATTTTGGAATCCGCACGCACTCGCGAAACACGAACTCTTCGAACAACTCTTCACGACACCCTAGCGAGAAACACTGCTCTCTTTCAAGAGAAATCTTGGCGCAACACCTCGAGGCGAGGTTAATACGGAAAAGTTATAAAATCGCGGTTGACGAGCATAGAGACGCGACACCCGTCCCTTCGGTTTCACGATTGTGGATACGAAGGAGCGCGCGGTTTACTGCGTGTTGGACGCCGCCAGGTAGGCTACCTCGGCGCACACCCACGCAGCTGAGGCACACGCATAGTTCACACGTACGCGAGCACACAAATAACCGGCCACGACTTGCCTGGGAGTCTTTCCGTTCGGCTGCCGCTAGTAGCGCTGCTGCTGGATGCTGTGCGCCGACTGCCTCGCTCCTGGCCCGACCACGGTGCGACAGAGTCCGATGGAACCGGCCAATGAGAGTCCAACCGAGACGCAGGAGAACCTGGAGCAGGCCCTAGCGATGGGACCGACACTCTTTCGTTTAAGGATTCCAATGGAACAACACAATTTCATGATGATGTTTATTCTCAAAAATTATACACATATAAATGTTGGATTATGATCGATCCAATATATAGAGAAAATGCTCCTGTTTGTTGGTTGTTTAATAATAAATTTTTAATTATTAGATAAATGAGAAATAATTGTTCTGATGAATTTTTTTTAAATATTTTGAATATGAAATATTACATATATGTAATATTTTTTTTCTATGAAGTACAACATGTGTAAACGATTATTTTTAATTTAATGTACAAGTAGTTATGTTACAGTATGAATGAAAAAGTGATTGATTTTATCTCGTGATACAAAAAATTCTAAGAAATTTAATCAAGTAGCGTTATTAATGTCACATTAGTATCCACTATGCCTGCAGAGGGGTTAATTTAAATGGAAAGGAAGTCAGGAGTGCAGAAATACGGGAGTGATTTTACTCCAATATGCATGGACAAACATGCGAGGATATATTTGCATAGTCTACGTACGGGTTGAATTTAATTTGCATGAAAATTTAAATTGAACACGCAAATAAGAGTTGAAGCAATGTAGAAATGTAAATTCCTATAGAGAATTTAAGGAACGTGACACAGTGATTACATTAATGTAATTTACAACTTGTTGGAACAGGAAATCGTAAATACGATAAAATCAGATATAATAATTGGTTAAATCATCATGTTATGCACACGAATATACGTAACATTTCTGAAATTTTTCATTTTCATCTTTACACTAAAATTTTAAAAATATAGAAATTCAAATATATTTTTATCGTGTTAGAAATTATCTTAAAAAAACATTGTTGTTCTCATCGTACAATTCCAATCAATTTCTCCACAATGTTACAAGCTAAATTTGTTTCTACTAAAAAACTTTATTCAGTGTCGAATCCATCGCTAACAGAGACGTAGAGCAAAGGGGACCATGAACGAAGGAGGGAGATTCACGGGTATCCTATCTACCAGTGCCTACGACGCGATGCCGCGCAGGTTGAACGCAGGAGGTTTAGGTAGAGACGTGGTATGAGGAGCAGGTGCGTAATACTAAGATTCGGCGCCCCCTTGATCGATAAACATCAATCTTTAAATCCAACATTCCCATAAATCCATCGAGAAAACCTCATAAATACGTGCATATCTCTTTCAAACTCTTTCTGAAACTTCGTTCTAAATACCACCTCTCATTTTTTCAACTTCGAACAATTTCAATTCCTTAAAGAAACCTATTCATCCACGCATTTAGACGTATCTGATCAATTCGATTCAATTTTTCCAAAAGCGAAGAACGAACCACGCAAAAATTCCGAATCTTTCATGGATTATCTTTCGTTTTAATCATCCCTTAAAGGATGGTTATTTATTTCATTCAAAATGACGGAATAATTATTTGTTAAAGAATGGAGATAATCGCGTCACGTTCGAAATCACGAAGTTCGGACGGGGTCTGGGTGTACGGAAGGTAAAAAATCGTGGGGCAGGTTGTAAGTCCACCTGTAAGAAACTCGTGCGGCGCCGGCACTGAAGAAGGAGATCGGTTGTTGGTGGGCGGGAAGGGGAGAGGCCAGCGGCCAGAGGCACTTCACAGAGAGATCGAGCCTCGATCTTTTTTCTTCTTTACGTACTCGTCTCTTTCTCTCTTTCTTCTTCCCTGCCCGGTCCACATCCAGTCCATCCCTCTCCATCCATACTCTGGACCCGTACTTTTTTCTTCTTTCCGTCTCTTTTCTGTTGGCAGCAGCCGCCGCCGCCGACGCCCAGCCGGTTTTACACCGGCGAATCGATCCAATCGAGTGTGTCTCGGAAGAACGAGGCTGGTTCTAGTTCATGGATCGTGGATTTCGCTCCACTTGCCTAGAACAACCGGCGTAATTGTTCGTCTGCGCTTCGTTCCGTGGGGATTTTACTCGCGATCGCAGCGCCTCGGACGCCGTGGCTGAGAAGGATCGAACGGTGAACCGAGATACTGCTCGGAAGCACGGGAACATTGTTCGAGATATGCGTGTCCATGGGACGAGGTTTCTTCGTTTCGTTTTGGTTCACCTTCGGTTTCTTACAGTGGCTACGTGAACCTTTCGTCTTCCTTTCGCGAGGCGCGAGTCGAGGGATCTCGAATGGGCTTTTCGGTGTCTTCTTCTTTTCCTGTAGAAAGTTCTTTTTTATGGGCAAGAGTGATATAACTATCCTTCTGAATTCGATTAGAATAAAGTTTTTTTGCTAATTCTATTTTTGTATTAATTATTGTTATTATTCAATATTGAAAAAATATCAAACGACAAACACGTTTACCACCGATCCTTCCTTTTGCTTAAAGCGATTAAGAATTCCAACGTTGCGATTAAAGAATGTTGAATTGCTTAAGAATAATCCGATGATCGTATCCTTTTTTTTTTTTACATGCTTGTTTATCTAATTATCATTACCACGAAGGATGAATTGCTACATACCAAGAATATCTCAAACGTAAATATGTTTTGAATATCTTTTAACGTTTATCATACAAAAGAGACATTTTACAGTTAACTGATTGATCATCATTTAATTATTTATTAATTAAAAGAATAGTTTGAATAATATAGTAGCTACACCATTAATATTTTTAATATTAAATAATATATTTACACAATTCTAAAGTTCAAAGTTAAACGCGAATGATATTTAAAAATATCGTATTAAAATTATTTAAAATTTATTTGTAGCAATTGAAGTTTGAATTGAAAGATGAAGCGAGACGGAGACAGAATGACATAGCGCGCCGCGCTGCGGCGGTGTGATGAAGATAAAGCTGTCTCGTTCTATCCCTATCTCCCTTTATCTAACGCAAACTTCGATTACACGATAAATAAAGCTCGATCGAAATTTTTGTATACCAACTTTTGTGCCTTTTTCGACCTTTGGAATCGATTATATTCCACGAATATATCAATACCCTACATAAACCGATTCGTTTCTTTTCTTGCGCAAGGAGAATTTTTAAACACACGAGCATTACTTATATAATGATTTATTTACCGACTTCGTAAATTCCATCTATCGTATTCTCTCGTTCACTTTGCTTTCTATCTCTGCTAAAAATCGGCCTCGAAATCAGCTCACGAGCGAGTTTGCCAGTGGTCGATAGATCGTCTATCGAGACGACCTTCTGGCATGAATATTAAAAGACGAATTTCGACAGGCATCGACCAGCGTGACCGTTTTCTCCGTAGCAACCGTGGAACAAACCCTCTATTGATGTTCTCCATCGATGTTCATTAACTATTTCTTAATGTCCCGTGAATTTATCGTTCTGCGTCGCGAGAAAGCGCGCCACTATGTGATAAAAATCTGATTCCTCGTTCCAGTCGATTCTACGAACGTTTATCTTTAAAATATTCGATATTCCTCGCCAGAGAGTAATTTTTTTTTTTTTTTTGCTTTAATCAGACAGATTTTAAGAATTTTAATTTCCAGAAGTTTGGAGGAGAATCGAAGTTCATTAGCGAATGATGACCACTTTTTTTCTTTCTTTCTTTTTTTTTTTTTTTTTTTGATTATTCTCGCCTTAAGTACTTACACGCGTAGGTCAACCACGTCTACCTGCAGGTGCATTTGTATTCACGAGCCGGCGACACGCAGTCGAGTGCAGCGTCGTGTAAACGCTGCAGGTACCTGCCAATGCGGACGAATCAGCTGCGTAGGAACGTTTTTATGCACCATCTCCGAGAGATAATGTAGTCGTTCTTTTCACGTGAGCCTCTTATATTGCCCGATCCACCGACAAAGACCCCTCTAAGAATCCTTTTGACAAGTTTCCTTTTTTTTTCCTTCTCTTTTCCTTTTTGTTTTTCTTTTTTTACGAATTTCGTGTCTCTGCTGTTGCCGTTGCGAAGTAGCAGAGGTTGCAATCAAAAAACGTGATTCGGGTATAACGTGATGTCGAGGATGTTGTGATTAATGAAATAAAATTGACGTGTTTCGAAATGGAAGATTGGCTTACGATTTTCAACGGTTAATCACTTTACAATGATGCAATTACAAGAATGCTATATTGTTTATATTATTGGAATAATTTTTTTTTTCAAACATATATTAGAAATTATTTAGACGCTGAAATGTACAACTTACACGACCAATTTATTTCAAGGGTAAAAACAATTTGAAAATGCAAAACGTGAAATGGTTCGTTGAAACGAAACGTTGACGAATTACTCGAGAAGGTTAACGGTATGCGGTGACGAGTGTCTTTTCCTAAAAGGCCCAGATACTAGGGAGAAGGTCAACACGGTTCCTTTAACGCGAGAGAAAAAAATGGAACTCGGACGACAAGTATTTTACATTTAAATATCGTGGCGATTACTCAGATGCAAAATACCATACGTGACCTTATGTTCGAGAGCACAATGTGCACGAGGATAGATATTAATGAGGAAGAAAAGAATCTTCACTCGAACAGTTAACAAAATTTCTCTTCGTCGATATTTTAAAAAGAACATTTTACCGAACAGCTATATTTAAAACTTTTGTTATTGTAAAGATACAAACCAATACATAAATAAAATAAAGCACAAATTTTATTAACAGGATAAATTTTCGATTCCACCTTGCTTAATTTTATCGAAACCACGAAAAATGAACATAGAATATTTCCATCAATCCCAATCCCATATTTATAACGTCCATTTCGAAATCCTTTCTAATTATCATATCGATCCAATTAAACTGCCATTAAAATGCAATTTCCATCGAAATTCCTGCAAGAATCCACTCCCATTTCCTTCCTCGTCCCTGATGATACGTGATCAGAGCACGAGGAAAGGTGTACGCAAACGATTAAAACGCGAATCGTCCGCGTGCGAAGAGGCGGTTAGTTTCGGGAGGTCAGAGGATTCGGTCGGTACAAGCTTTTAGGCGAAGCGACAGCGTGCGAG